CTCGTCGGTACGGCTTCTTCTGGCTTCTTCCTCCCAGTGGTGGTACAGCGGGCCTCTCTGGCGCTCGGCGTGCTTCTGGTGCAGCTTCTGGTTCCGTCCATTAAGGTTCCACCGCGCATGCGCCTTTCACGCACCGGCGTCCTCCTGGCTCCGCCTTCACCAGCGTCCGGCCCCTCGAAGATGTTATGCCTCCGTTGCCATTTTTCCGCCGCTTGCTGTCTCCTGCTCGCCGCCTCGCCTCTCGTCGTCGAAGGGTGGACTCTATCCAGCATTATCCCCGTCTAAGGTCCCTCCCCTCCCCAAGCCCCACCCTCCCCAGGTGGCACCTTGGTGCACCCCTAATAAAAAATATTTATTTTTTTATTTATTTAATTTTCGACTTGCTACCCCGCTCAAACCCCCCACAGGGGGTCTCTGAGCGGCTCTACAGTTAATCGTTATCCCTTACCTAAGGCCACATATATATGTAGGTACCCATTGATCTACTCGCACATTAGGTGTTACATCGTGCTTTCGAACCGCTGGGTTGGCGGGAGCTGGGACAAGGGCCAGGTGCTCACTCTGGCTGTGGTGGGGAATCGAACAGCTGTCACAGCTGTGTATAGATGTTATATGCAGGCGTTTAACCGCCTGCGCCACCGCTCCCTCCAAAGTGTGTTCTTTTTGATTTGGACGAGGATGTTACAACCATCGAGTTTGGCTGAGGGTGGGAGAATAAAAATTCAGCTCCGGTCTCCTGGAATCTGTACATGTGGTCCAGGCGTCTTGTTGACACTGGGGCCGATGAAGGTTTTTCCCATGGTGCTTTCGCAGCTTGTAAAAGGACCGCAGACATGGGCAGTGTTATGGTAGTGGAGGTATCCAGTTGCATGATATTGAAGACAGCATCTGTAACCTGAGGTTGGTGTTGAACTACTGAGAGGCCTAGAGAATGGGCCATTCTTTTGACGAGGTCTGCATAGGACGTGAGATTGTCGGATGGGGATATAGGGAGATCATCA